GTTTTAGCCTCACTCGTTTATGTCTTATTCCTCGTTCTTAATTCCACGAAAAATGGCAGCAAAGTGGTACAGCCGGCCGACAGCCGTCTTCATGTGATTTGGGTACCTTTACCCCATGCAACCGGAGCCGGTCCCCGCCGGCCTCCTCGGTGGGTGGCGCTTGCATCGGCAGCACATGGTCCAAGAGTCCAGGCACTAAACGTCCTCCCTTGGGCAAAGACCTTAGAGGTGACCGTGTCTCCGTGTCTCTTCGTTCCGGTCACATCAAGGCTTCGAACTGATCTTTTCGCTACTAGGGGCTCCTGGCATCGCTACTAGGAGCAAGGACGCTACTAGGTTGGAGGCCATCGCTATTAGGTTTTTGAGCGATGAAACGATGGCTATCATTTCTGAGCTGATGGTGGATGAAACGGATGAAACGGGGAGATCCTGCGAACGTGTCCAGCCAAGTGACGAGGCAAGCTGATTCAGTTGAATCTCTTCTTCCTCTGCAGCTTGCTGTCCCCAAAAGGCTTCAACCTGCACAGCGGCCGCCCACCCAAAGTGCTAAAGTACTTTAGGTGATTGATCATCATTGATCATCCTTTCATTTGTTCTTGGAATGTGGAAAACACAGTGGTTGGTGAAAGTGATCTCACCGGTTCCAATGCTTGCCTGCAGCCCTCTTGAAAGAACACATTACGTTTTTGCCAAGTATTCCTTGAGGTATTCAGGCCTCAGCAGCATCTAAGGAGGAGATGGCGTCCACGCAACGCCGCACAGACTCCTCCAAGCAAAATGAACTGGATAGGACACCTGACCACACAACCCCAACCAACCAAGGATACAGTGTGTGGCAAACCCTACTACACCCTGGTTGTTTGGGTCTCCTTGCTTGGGTGGCGAGCTGCTGCCACTAATGCCTGCAACCAGTTGGACACTTGGAGTGTGACTTGCTGGCTCCTCTGAAGCAAAGTCTGTCCTAGGCATCTTTCGTTTTTACCATGCCATTCCTGAAATTCCTTTTTGCTCCAAGTCAGGACAGAAAACATGACTAGCTAGCATTGCACGTAAGAAGAAAAGGCCATTCTTGGGTACATCTTGAGCACATAGCTCTTCGGTCAAAACGCAACGTCAAGTAAGCTCTCTATCCGGCCTCACTGGCTGTAGCAGCACAAAAGCGCCTTCAGGAGAGTGAATCAAGCAAAGCTCCAAAGCCAACAGGGGTGTCGACTTTGGCATCCAAACAACACCCACAAAGAACAGTTCCAATTGAAAGAAGCAGCATGGCGGTCCTTCGATCCGCTCTCTAGTGGTAATCCTCGCGGTTCAAATCGCGGTTCAAAAGGATTCTTTGTCTCAGGTCGTTACCTCATCTACACTGATCTACACAGTGCATTCCCCTGATTCATTGCCTGGCATGCTGCAGTGGCAGGTAGATCCTCACTGCAAAGCCCAGGCGAAGCGCCATCGGGTTCGGGTTAGAAGGCTTCTGATTCTGTGCGTGGCGGATATGGGGTTGGTGGGTCATTGGTCATTTGAGATCTCTTCCTGCTTGCAGCTTGTTAATTGATTGGCTTCTGCTTCTCTTTTTGTGGAGCTCTCCGACCCTCCAGACTTGAGAAGGGCCCTTCGTGCTGGCATACCACCCACGTGCCCAAAGGCAAATGCGCCTCTTGAATGAGACGGAAGGCCACTTAGAGTGCAAAGTAGCCTTCTTCCATGACTCTCGCACTATGTCGACTGGGGTCGTTGATGTCGATTGAAAAGCTGGGCAAAGGCACCACGGTCAACAGACCAAGCATTCAACAATTCGATGGTCAAGAGACGTGGTGTGAGGAGCTTTTTGCCTGTCCATAACACGAATGTAAGCATAGCTCATTGTTCCTCTCCCCACTTCTCCCAAAAGTATGTCTTGGAATCTATCGAGATCCAGTTTGCTCACTTCTTCACCAAACCGAACCTTTCGCCCCAAGAATCAAAATCATTTTGAAACCGCACGAGCCGCAGGTTTGTTCGCGTGTGCGCTCCACGGTTGGCCAGGCGGAAAACGAAAGAGCAGTGCGCACAGTGAAGCTCGGCCCAAAGGCCTCCAAGTGATTCATCCGAGCAAGGACGCTACTAGGGGCTCCTGGCCTTACTACTAGGAGCAAGAACGCTACTAGTAGCAAAGGGCATCGCTACTAGGAGCAAGGAACGCTACTAGGCTCCTGGCATCGCTACAAGAATGCCCCTTTTGGTAGAAGATAAGAAGACAAGCTACCTACTACTCCAAGCTACTTACACCTACCCAGCCAATCTCTGTGACGCTTCAGTTCCTCCCCGCAAGCAACACTGCTGCACAAATCCTCGCCAAAAGCAGCGACTCAGTGAAACGAACTATCGGTGAAATCGGTGGCACTCGATTTATCATCGAAGCTCAACACATTGAAGCATCTTGATTGGCACATGCTAGCCTAGATTTTTTTCCTTGCTGAGTTGGGTTTGTTTGGATTTGCAGGACTTCCACAGTCGATCTTCGGTCGGTCTTGCCATTCAGCGCCGGAGATTCGCTTCGGAGGATCCTGAATTCGACCTCGGCTGGCATGGCTCGTCGCAGCCGAGCTCTGGATTTGGCACGTCTTGGTCCGCTCGCCACGAACTCGTGGTGTTCCAACCACAAACTGTCTTGAAAGAGAGCAGGATGAAAATAGTAGATGGGTTTGAACACTGGTCGTGGTTAAGCTAAACCACCCGTGGTTAAGTGCTAGTTTCGGTTCCCACCTCAGCTCATGTTCCCGTTCTTTTCCGATTCTTTCACTGGCGCAAGCGGGACTGCCCGCTGGGGCCGCTCCAGGGCGCCTGGAGGGGTGGGGCCGTTTTGGGTTGTCCACTCTGCCTCTACTCCTCCTTTACCTCGGAAAGATCAACGCAGTGCTACGGAAGAAGAACCTGCTGTGCTAGGGAGTGCTTAGATGTGCTTCTTGCAACGCAGTTGCCCAGTGAAAGCTCGGATCCTAGGAATGATCAACCCTTGGAGGGGGTGGCGTTTGCTTCCGACATAGACACGCTACTTGTCGCCAATTCAGGTGATTCCAACTCTCTCTCTCTCTCTCGAGCGAATGGAAGCCTACACCATTCGGAAGCTCTTGCACATCAGCTTGAACTGTTTCAGTTTTCTGGGCAAAACTTGCAAGGAACAGTGGCAAGATCTGGGCATGATCAGTCTTTTTTCCCAAGTTCCCTCAGAGCCAGAGAAAGGGCTCGGCTTTTGAGAGAGAACACATCCAAACCGAACAAGTGGTAACAAGTGCCTTACTAGTAGTAACAAAAAGCTACTATCAATATAATTAGAATCAAATTAAGATTTTTTTAAACTTAATCAGCTACTAACATTGTTTGCCATTAGAGATCCCAAATTCTCCCTCTTTGCGCTTCGCTCCTGGGCGCCGGTGGCCGAAGAGTCCGACGCACGGACTGCAGAGCCACCTCGGTGAGCGCTGGACCCCGACTGACGGCACACCATGCGTTGCTGAAACGAAGTGTTTGGGTTCCCGCAGGGCACTTCATTTTTTGGAACTTAGGAGCAAGAACGCTAGTAACAAAGGGCATCGCTACTAGGAGCAAGGACACTACTAGCAGCGTCCTTGCTCGTAGTAGTAAGGCCAGAAACACGGCTACTTGAAGATTTCTGCTTGTATGGGATAGATTCAATAACGTGGTGACTGAGGGAGCAGATGAATCTGATTTGTGGGCAATCCAGTCGGATTGGGGCGCAAGTTTTCATGAGTCCAGTTCACAAAAAGCGTTTGGATAGAGCACACCAAGCATCCAGTTCCCAAAGGCAACCTGTGTGAAAGAGCCTTTCCCCAAATTGGAAAAGGACTTCCAAACACCAAAACAGAACAAAACTCCGACGAACCTGACACCTTTCAGCTTTCATGTGAGACCCTTCAGCTCTTCAGCTCCGAGGTGCCAGTTGAATACGTCCGAAGTTCTGGTCATCCACCTGAGCGTCCCTCGCTGATTGCAGGACATTTTGTTTTTTGTGTCACTAAGCCAAGAAACTTCAACTCTCAACTCCATTCTTAGACATATTCAACACCAAGAAACTTCTGCTGGAATCTGCAGATCTTTCAGCAATGCCAAGACCTCAACCAGCAATCTTGAGCTTCACAGTTCCTTTTTACTCTCCTAAAAGAGGCGTTCTTTCACAAAAAGCGAGTCTGTTTGTACGGAGTAAATTAAGTCACCTGCACAACAATGCCTACAGGTCTTGGATGAGCCACCTTTGGGGCCAACAAAAAGAGGAGAAAGGAAGAAAGTAAAGAAGAAGAGAACACCTGGAGGTTTCACGTTTATCTTTTACGGTCCAAGGCTCAGAGGATTGCAGCGGAGCGTCGGAGCCCTTCCCTTCAGGTTGGAATTTGGACACAAACATCAAAAATCATCGGAAGCCATCGAAAAAGACCAAATGTTTATCCCAGGAAGCAAAGGAAAACAAGGAAAGCAGGCTGGCGGACAAATCTCAATATTAGCTGGACAAACTTGGAAAAGGCGATATGCAAAAGCAAAGAGAGATCTGTTGGAGTCTCGAAGCAAAGGAAAAGAAGGAAAGACGAAAGGTCTCTGAAGGTGGAAAAACAGACGAAACGAAATGGCAAAAGGACACAAAACAAGTCACAAGTAAGCTATAGAATACTTCTAATAATCCTTCTAAGAATACTGAAGTTATAAGATTACTATAGATTACTTAAAACATATTGTTTGGCATCTACATCCAACTCCACGCCTCGCATCTTCCCGTGGCCGGTGATGAGCACCCGGCGAAGCCCAGGGGTGGCGAGCCACTGGCGCACGGCCAAAGAGGCTGCGCCCGCAGAGAAGCGGTGCAAATCCAACGTCGAGTCGTCGCAACTCAACTCCTCAGCATACGTGAAACTCCTGCAGAATGCTGCACTGCTGGTGCTGCTGGTGATGGGGGCTTAAAGGGGTCAAACCGAAACCAAGCACAAGGTGTCAGCCACGTCCGATGGACGGAATACGTTGTCAAACAAACACGTAGGCAAAGCTGAGGCTCGTAGATCTTCCGTTCCAAAGCCTCTTTGAAGAGTACTTCGCCATAGGCCTGGAAACAAAACTCGGCATGCGTAGCTTTGGATGTGAAAAAAGCTACGTATGTCATGGTTCTGGGCACTTAAAGTGATTTTCCGTGCTTGAATTCTGAGCTTGACATATCATCTGGAGAAATCTTGATCCTACAGGACAGGATCCTTCTTGGATTCCCTCAGGGAACAAAAAAACGATTGATTTTCCGGTGAAATCAGCTCAATATAGATGTAAACGAGGGAGAGGTGGATGAGGCCGCGCATCAGGCTTCGAAATCCCACCTGCAAGCTCAAAGAAGTATTCACCACTCTACATTCTCGTGGCAGGGTCTTTGGTTCTCCTTGACTCAGCTTGATCTCAAGCAAGCCTTTTCGAGACATTCGTCCCGTGAGAGCACCTCAGTACTCAGTTCCAGTGTGTGGCCTGGGAACTCAGCGACCGCCCACCTGCGAAGAGTCTTACACTTTGTGCAACCAAGTCTCGGTCTGGTGACATGCATCTAGCACCTCTCATGCGTTCGTGGGCACCGAAATGGAGAGATCCCTGCAATCACAGAGTGGTGCTACTGGGAGGCGAAGCAAACAATACGTTCGTCCTTTTTCAGTCGGAGGTGGGTTGGGTTTCTGTCCTCTTGGTCAGTTTCTTGTCAAAGCACCCTGGCCGGATTCTGCAGGGTTGAGCAAAGCCGAGAACATGTGCTTCATTGAGGATCCGTGTGTCCTGCGACTACTGACTCTTTCCAACAGACTTTGGGAGGTGATTAAGAGGAAAGAGAGTCCTCAAGCTCCTTTCAAAAGAAACACGAAGTTCCCAAGTTAAGTTTCCTACTTCTTCACTGTTCTACCACCACTTGGCTCCAGAATCTTGTGGAAAGCTCATCCTTCTCTGATCATCAAGCAGCCGCTCGGAAAGTCACCCACCAACCACTCACACTCATCTTCTCATTACCTCTTGCCCCTGAGCTATGACTGAGCAACCAACCGCTGAGCAGCGACCACAAAAGCACCCAAATTTAAAGAGGCCTAATCAAAGAAACCCAAACACCAAACACCTTCTGAAAAACAATCTTTTTCCGGTCCAAATATAGCTAACCAAACACAAGTGAATGAAACCGCCATCTTCTCCGAGGCACGGCGTTGTAGGAGGCCTGATCCGGCGCGATGGACTGATCGCCCAAGCGTGTGAAGATCAGCAAGGCATGTTGCCATTGTCCAGCGCCACACGCGTTGATCGCCGCGTTGTGGCCTTGGGCAACACCAATACGCTACTGGCAACAAAGGGCATTGCTACTAAGAGCGATCGGACGCTACTAGAGGTAACTTTCTGGAGACGCCCAAGTAAAAAACAAAAGCCATCGCGTGGCTTGCACCCACGACCGCCCCATCAGCGCCGCTTCCAAGTTGCAAAGGTGATCAGCAAGGCTCTTCTCGGCCATGAGGTGAAAGAGTTGCAAGGAATCTTGCCATTGACTTCTCTTCCTCACGTGTGCCAGTTAAACAATCGCTCAAAAACAAGAGCGAGCAAAAAACAACGCAAAGCAAAGAATGCACGGACCAGGGAGGAATCGAACCTCCACAAGATGGTGTCATCTGCTGAAAGGCAAGATGTAAGCCAATGCCTTACCCATTAGGCAACTGGTCCAGCTAATTAGGGAAACGCAGCCCAACAGAACTGCGCCTGTACAGGTATAGGCCTTCCACGAATGCAAGATCACACGCCCGGAGCAGAAACTAGGAGCGAACTTGACGAACAAAAAATGAAGAAAGCATCACGGGCCTGACCGAAATACAAAAAGGAAAAAGCACAGCATGCCCACGTGCGAGCCCAAGCCTTTCCCAATCAAAGCACTCCAAGCTGCGCGTGCTCATGAATTCGAGCTGTGTAGATCTTCTTCAAAGATGCCGTCGAGCACGGCGCGTCCAGCAGGGCTCGTTCCCAATCAGAGACCTTCCTACGGCTGCGGCACGCTACAGAGCTACGGCTCAAAAAAGAAGACAGCTGTGGAGGTACCTCAACTTGAAGGAATGAAAGGCTGGCCTCATGTTTTTCTCCTTCTGCTTCTTCGGGTGCAACATTGGGACTGAAAGGCGTGGCCCAAAGGCTCTGTCGCGGTTCTTCAAGCAAATGCAAGGCTCATCAAGGCCCTTTCGACAATCCACTTCAGTCCAACATCAAAGGTTTGTGTGGTTTACAAGCACCATCCTTGATGTCAGACTTCTGGCATGCGCTGATCGTTGCATGGATACCGCCTGGCGCAGCCACTTTGGATGCACTTGACAAAACTCTGGGTGTCTTCTAATGCTCTGAGCAGTTTCTGAAGGTTAGGGACGGTCAATCTGCTGAAGCTTGCCATGACAACCTGTGAATGACCTCTTCTGGGATCCACCTGCTTGTTGAAGATGGTCCTTTCATGACTCGATTGAATCCAATCTGATCGCCTTAGAATCCCAATTTCAAGACCGGCCTGGACCAAATGGGACTCGTGGGCTGTCAAAAGCAGCTCAGGCCAATTGGCATTGCAGGCTGCTGAGCAAATGAGATCATGTTGGTTTGAGGCACATGGGGTAGGTCTGTGTTGTTGAGCTGGTATTTGTGGGGTCCATGAAGTCATGTATAGGATCCGTGTTGGCCCAAACCGGCAGGGAGGGGGCCATTTCAATCTGTCGCCACATCTTCACGTTGCAGGACCGAAAATGTGATTGAAATCATCAGCTACGGCTTTGTAGGCTAGTTGCACAGTTGAAGAAGTCCTGAAGTAAAAATCCACCAATCATCCGTTGAGTTCTCTGCATGCTTCTTTCTCTTGATGGTCTCCGATCAACTCACCCCCAATCAAGTCGTGGTGGTTGGAATGAAATCCAACTAAGTGTAATTACGATATTGCAGTGAAACAACATGTATGAGAACATGTGGAGATGATTGTATCCCGAGCCTCAACCCTTCTGAAAGCCAAAAAGGGCTGCCACTGGTGCAGCCCCAAGCCACCGACTAAAACCATAGCCACTATCCAGCCACAGATCTGGACGCATCATGACACATCTGATCCAAACCAGAGCCAACCCAGGAGGGGAACCACTATGACCTCTCCGCGCTTCGTGTGAGGTGAAAAACAAGCCGCAGCAATCACGCTGAGAAAATATCCGATGCCCAAGGCCGTGGCTGGTCTAGGTCTCCACCATGTCCCCCTCCTCCACCTACCGGCAGGAAAGCGATGAACGACATGACATGTAGACCAGGCAAACAATGCCAACAAACCATGCAAATCACACAGTCATCTCACACCAGGCTATCTGGAAACAAGATTGGCCCAGTGCTTCTCCGGAACTCCTGACCCAACAGCTGACCCAAGAAATGCTGATCACCTCTGTCGATCTCCATGCGTCCGGCCTCCTCATTGCTCAGCTGGACACCCAAACGGATGGGATCCAAAGCAGGAACCTGGCCATGGCAACATGCGTGCTTCGGTGTCTCCTTGGTGCCTAGGTTCTTGACATCGGTGGTTAATAGCGATGGCCTCCAACCTAGTCGGTTGGTTCCAGAAATAGGGCAATGTGGAGACACGAGCTTCTCGAGCAGCACCCAAGTTCGTTTCTCGTCATTAGGCCTGCCCCCAATGCATGAACCGGCAAAGAGTGGAAAGACCAACAAACATACCTTTGAACATGTTTGAATGAAGCCACCTTAAAGCCTTAAGGACCTTAAGCTAAATATTTTTCAACCAGGCAAATCCGGTCTTGCGTCCCTGTCAAGAAGAAGGAAACACCACGAAACGAGCACACGAGCCTCGTGGGAGTCGAAGTGGTCCAGATCTCAGTACGAACGACACCGGTGAAACACCGGTCGTTCGTAGAAGGTTTGAACGTCGGACGTCGGCCCAACTGATTCCCTTTTCGTGAGTCGAAAGAAGATACCCCTAGCTGCTAGCTTCTTCTTCCTAGCTTGCTAGGCGCCGCTGAGGCTCATGAGGTAGTTGTAACGGACAAGTTTAGCAATTACCCATTTCCTGTCATATTAGGCATCCATCACCATCCATCTAGAATCTAAATGGTATGAGCCTCTGAAAAACTTGGAGCCAAAAGCTTCATTTGGCGTCCCCGACTTTCGATCTCCGTGAAGGCCTCAGTTGGCGTTTCGGGGAAAACGCAGAAAGGGTGAAACATGGAGAAACACGGACAACAGCCCTTTGTGATCTTTTTTGCCTTGGCAAACTGTTCTGGATTTTGTTGTTTTGTTTTTGTATTTTTAAAGCCCGCTATTAGGTTGGAGGCCATGGCTATGTCACTGGAACCCGAGAAGATCTTCTATTGAACTGCGAAGCTCCGGTACTCCTTTTCTGAAGGCGACGCCAAGGTTTTCTTACGCAGTAGATCCAAAACAGCCTGAACCAGTGGGGAGCTTTCCTATGGGCCTGGCACGAAAGGCTGGTACCATGGCTTTGCTTGCACTTGCTTTGACCCTTGATGGCTTCAAACACATCTAAAGCTTATAATCACACACTCAGAGCAATACATTCATCAAGCATGTTGCTTCTCTCCTTCCCTGATCCTGTCAGCCCCTGTCAGGTCCAGTTGCGACAGGTGTAGCCCAAGGGGCAGAGCGCTTCTCGTGGAGCGTCCAAACCGAGCGGAGCCCCGGCTTGGTGACCAGGTGCTGCGGGCGCGGTCGGCGCGGTCGGCGCGGTCGGCGCGGTCGCGGTCCGCGGACGGAGACCAGCGCTGGGTCGGTCACCGGATCCGTTGCTACGAAGGTAGCGAGGCCCTTTGTTCCGTTCGTGGCGTCCGATCGCTCCGTTCGTAGTAATGCCCTTTGTTGCTAGTAGCGATGCCCTTTTTCCTAGTAGCTTCTTGTTCCTAGTAGTAAGGCCAGGAGCTACTAGTAGCGTCCTTGCTCCTAGTAGTAAGGCCAGGAGCCCCGGTTCGTAGCGTCCTTGTTACGAGTGGTTTTATGTCGAGTTTATAAGTCTTCGGGTTCTGTCACGACGATGTTTTTGGCCATGAGGATGCTGGCGATTTGGAGCGTTTGAAACAACACCAAAAACTGTTGTAGTGCTTTCTGACTCCACCAATGTCCTTGCTTTCTGACTTACCTGACTTCTCCCGAAAACTTTGACACACTGGGTGGAGCAGATCCTTTTGCCCCAAAAACGGTGAGCCTGGGTGAGGAATTCCATGGCCTGCCATTTCGCTCGTCCGGATCTGTGCTGTTCCCTTTGCCGTCCTTGTGGTTTCACACGTTCAGAGCCGAACACGTCACAATCGGAAGTGTGATTGGACACCTCAGCTTGGACCAAGAGCTAAATAGCAGGTAAATCATTCAAGTCATCATGGAACCCCGTTTTGACACAGCTCTTTCCCATCCTCTGAAGAGAAACTCAAGCACACACACACACCACTTGGAGTTGTGTGAGAAATCGGCAAAACCGCTTGCGTGTGGAGAACAAGTCACTCCAGCCTCCCGGTAGTGGACTCCAAAGCTGGTGCCCTCCATCGTGACCAACGACAGCCTTGCCGCTGCAGTCTGCCAAGTGGAGACACCTGGTTTTTCCTTGGCTACTAGGAGCAAGGACGCTAGGAACGTAGCTCTTGGCCTTACTACAAGGAACAAGAAGCTACTAGGAACCAGTGCTCTCCGGAGAATAATGGTCTTTTGCACTGACATCGATTGTCGGACTTACCCTTCCAAGTTCACTAACATGGATTTGACTGAGCACCCGTGTAGTCGACAAGCAAGTTCACATCTTTCCATGCAGTTTCGATGACAGTCTGCCTGAAATATATGGGAGGATCAATCCTGAAATTGATTGTGAGAGGTCTGACACCAAACACACATTGCACAGCCAGGTGGGCTCGTAAAGGATGTTCTCCAGCTCCCACGTCGGTCAACTCACCACTTGCGTCAGCTCTAAAATGTCATCAACATCCCTCACATGCTGTATGTAGGCTTTAAACCAAACGCTGCTGCAGTTCTCCAGTGCCCTTAGTTTCGTTCTTCTTCTATCTTAGGTTGGGATGCCATCGCTCTTAGGTTGGATGTCATTTTTTACAAGTACAAAGCTCCGTGGGTCTGCCTTGACACCGGTACTCGCTGAGTCTGCAATCTGCAAGCACCTCAGGAGGGTCACCATGCTCACCATCATGAAACCATTCAGTGAACAAACACCTCAGGAGAAGAAACTCCAATTTTGGACCAATGAGTTGGTGGTGCCTTCTCCTTTGAAAATTCGTGGTTTCTGGAAGTTCTACTTTGACTCATGTCCACAGTTGTATGGAATAGAATCCTGCACCACTGAAGGTACTCTAGAGAGAGACGCCATTGGAAAGACCGGAAACACATGGAAACACGGAGACCTGATGGTTCCAGGGTAGTGTAGAAATTGATCCATCAACATCCAAATTGTCAAAGGGAGGAAAGGAAGCAAGAATGGAATGAACCTAGTAGCGATGGCCTCCAACCTCCACCTAATTAGTAGCTTCTTGTTCCCAGTAGCAAGGCCAGCAGCTACTAGCAGCTTCTTGGTCTTTTTTTGGATCTAAGGAACAAAGGAACAAAGCGAAAAGCGCGAAGTGTCCCGCTGGGATCGAACATCAACGCGTCGTCCAAACATCAACTCCAGCTGTTCACCACAGCAGTCATCACCACGACGTATGGAGTATACAGGATCCACCTATCCGCACCGCGCTACTTGGAATGACTGAGAAGATCACCTGACTGATCTTCACCACTGGAGTCATCACTGCAAAGGAGGTTGCAACAGAGTTTGGACCCGTTGACTTGCAAAAGAGTGACCGTGATCTCCAGCAGCAACGAATGTGAACCGGCAGATGTTGCTGAGTGGGTCTCCAAACGACCAACCAAGCACCTTCAGGGCCTGTCCGGCGCCGGTCAAGGCCAAGTGTCAGAAGCCTTCCTTCTGCTCGTGCAAGGTGACCTCGGAGAGAAGAGATAGAAGAGATACGGCACGACAGAAAAGACTCAGGAGGAACCTGGACAACAAGACAAGGCTTGACGGTTTTTGCAGATCCCTTGCCGTTCTGAACTCCTTCTTCCCAAGTGCCGACCTCTTCGTCTGGCCTTTTCGCACCTCTCTGAGGACACCCGCGTCCATGTACTTCACACAGACCTGCAGAACAAAGTAACAAAATGTAACAAAAAGAACTCTCGAACCATGTGCATGATAAGCAACACATATGAGTTGGGATGATGAGTTCAAGTGTCTCAACATCATTGCGTAGGAGGTCTTTATTAGGAGGGCCACATGAACTACTCTGCACTGGTTCCGGGTCCTCTCGTTCTGTTGTGCCTCGCTTCTAGTAACAAGTGCATTACTAGTAGTAACAAGAAGCTACTAGGAAGAAGTGCATCGCTTCTAGTAACAAGTGCCTTACTAGTAGTACCTATTCCAACCCTCTGCACGACCTCCATATGACCGTCTGCTGGTAGGACACGTGCGGACTCGCAGCAAACGCCCTGCCTTGAGCAAGCTGGGCGGGATAGGTGGATAGGTGGATGGGTGTGATAGGTAGGTGAGTGTGATATGTGGGGTATATCATTGGTT